CTTTTTTTTTGGAACTCGATCTCGATGGAGCTCATTTTGTTTAAACACTTTTTTTAATTTGTATTCTATTTTTACTTTATTAATTATATTATTTTAAATAATTTTTATTATATAATAAAAAGTTACAAAATAAACAATGACTTTTAATTTTTTCCATATGTTTTATTGTATTAATATCATATTATATACTATTTATATTTACATTGAGAAAGAAAAAAAAAACTTGTAAGCCGGCTCGTGATGAACTTATGATGAACCACTAAAAAAAAAGCCCGAACTCGTTAGAAATCTCGAATTCAAGCTCGAGAAAGTTAACGTTCCGATCCCCAGTCCTTTTCATTTTAGTTTTCGTTCCGGAGTACTAGTGCACACGCATTAAAAAAACTAATAAATGTGTCTGGATTTTATGAAAAGTTTAAATTGTATTGTCTTAATTAAAATATGTTTTTGCAGATAATTCAATTAAAAATCGAGAATGTACGTAGCTCCCAACTTCCAAATTTTTTTAATCCACCTTCACCTATTACGAATTATCATCTGATGTATTTCACCCGATGTAGCATCAAATATATATGCCGCTTCCTCCTCTTTACTAGGAATTCCATATATAATATATAATTGGCCAAGAAAAAAAGAAATAATAAAAAATAGCATACTAGTTCACGGGCGGTTTCACTTGGCACACAGAAATTGATAAAACCATGATATATATATATATATATATATATATATATATATATATATATATATATATATATTCCAGGACATTATTCATTCATGAAAATATCAAACAACAGAACGTACTACGATTAGCACTATGTATGTATAGTCATCTTTCTCAAAACCCTAATTCTTTCGGCATGCAAGTTGGCCACTACACTCAACGACAAAATTATCTTTTATATATATATATATATATATATATATATATATATATATATATATATATATATATATATATAATATTTGTGAGAACAAAATTATATTTGTAAGGAATAATGGATTGAAATAGGTTTGATCGATGAGATTCATCTTTATGAGTTTTGAGTTGTTTCCCACTTTGAATTCTGTGTCTCAGGCAACTAACTGGGTTCAACAACTCATGGCCAACAATCGTTTCTTTCCGACAGTGCGCTTATTATATATGATATATCCAATTCCTTGCCTGAGAAACAAAATGATAATTATATATTATTCTGGATATTGTATTTCTTACGTG